TCGCAGCTTTCTCGTTGTGTGATAAACAAACTGCAGATAGTGTTCTACTCAATAAAATTGGAAGTGAAGTTTAAGTGTTTTAAAACCCTTTCTGTTGATATACATATAATATTCGGTTCTCTTCTTGTTTTACTGGATTTGAAACAGCAGTACTGACTGGTGAAAGATTTTGATACTTTATTACAACATTAAAGCCTGTTCTAGAATGCATATTTTCTTGCAGGTTGCCAATGGACAGACCAAAACATTGGTCTAAACTTGACAGAATCAAATACAGTTGGGTACAACAAATTCATTCTCGTGCATACTGTATCCAGTCCGGTCCTATAGCCATCACATTTTCAAACATCAGTGTTATATCGGCTCTGTGTAATCTGAATATCTCGATTGCTGTAGGGGTCACCCTCGGATTCCCGTTCATGTAGAGAATCTGGAGACTCTTGCAACCGCTTCTGAGAGCAAGCAACCCTTGATCACATAAGTTCCTACAACGGTTCACATGGAGTTTTTCCAGGTTACGGCACCACTTTCCAACGGCTTCCCATCCCGAAACCGTAATTTCATGACACAATGCCAAGTTCCACTCTTGGAGCAACGGGCAACCTTTTGCTATAGCTTTGATGGATTCATCACCAACCATTCTGCACATCCTTAGGTTCAAGATTCTAAGTTTTGATGCAATCCCAGACCCAATAGGTACCAACCCATCATTGCGGCATCTTGCACCTGAAATGTTTAAAAACTCAATCCCACCACCGCTAATGATCCCCCTTATACCCTTTGGCTCAAGCTGACAAGACTCGGCATCCACATATCCCAAAGCTGGGGAACAGCCATGAAAGCCAACACCGGTTATGCCCCTGCAGTTTGAGATCTTCACTGACTCAAGCTGCAAGCATGCTTGTGACAATGCTCTCACCCCAAGATCAGACACCAGTGGACAGTACGAGAGATTCACGTATTTTAGAGGCAAGCAAGCCCTGGCCAATGTTTCTAACCCAATGTCACTGATATTGCACCGGTAGAGACTCAGGATTCTAAGACTGGGACAAAAGCTGACGATTGTTGAGACCCCATTATCAGAAACTCTAAAGCAACAATCTAAGTAGAGACTACGCAGTCTTGCACCGGGAAACCTGAGAGAGTCAAGACTCCAATCATTCAGCGCAGTGCAACCAGAAAGGGAAAGATGTTCCAACCACTGAAACCGAGTGAGAAGCCTATGGAGAAGATTAGAATCAACAGCAGGATTTGACTGAGACATGCTTGAAGGGACAGTGAATGAACAATGGAACTGTAAAGATCGACGACTTATGCTTTGGATGTTGAGCCAGCGACGACAAGTCAAACCGAATGAATCTCGTTCAGTAATATATTGTAGTCGTTGGAAGATAAAGGAGAGGCAATCATCTGGAAGATTCATAATGGAGGCCTGAACATCATTAGACCCGGACACATCTTCCATCTCTCACTTCAATTCCTGTATAAATGGACAACAAAACCTTATCTTTAAACCTTGACCTCCTACATTTCCTCCACAAATCTACTTTGTTACCGAACAGAAACTCTATCTGTTTGTCAAGAACCCTAAACGAAGATTGCCTGACTAAAATGATGATGTGATCTGAAATTTGATCTAAAATTCTAAATGGAGCAATTTAAACTAGATGATATCCTTGTCCGAAGAGAAGTTACAAAATGACTTACTCAAATGATGAGAAACCACGAATTTAGCATCACCAGAGAAGATCATCGAAAAGAAGACATTGCAAGTTTAGATTCCAACAAATCTCCATGAGAAACCCAACAGGTTTCTGGAGAAAAGACTCAAAACAAAAAGCGAAACTTTGAGACTCAAAATTTCTGGATTTGATTGGATTGATCAAAAACAGAGACTTTATGGAATAGATTATGCGAACCAACGAGAAACCCACACAAAAACTCAAATTTTATTGACGAAATCAAATCAAGTGAACGATGATCACTCAATCCATGATCGAAATGTCAAACAGAGAAGTTTATTTGTTTGCCAATTCC